ACTATTCAAGAATTGCTTCTAGAGAGATTTAAATATTAATTAGCATATCAAGAATCACGTGATTAATTAAATCTAATAAATTTTTCTATAGACAAGAATAGCTTCTATACAAGCTAGCTCATTAAATAGCATAATTATTAAATAAGTTTATCAAGATTTTTGTCCTAACTTTTCCTTAGTTAAAAATGGGTTTGGCGCAGGCTAGGGTAGTAAATAGTATATCTAATATTTGAAAAATGTTAAAAAAATAGTTAAATCTAATAGTCTTTATTACTCTATAAATAAATTTAACGATTCTGCCTGCCAGAAATTTTATATGTCTAACAAAAAAGTAATATATTACAAAGTGTCTCTGCGCGGGTTAGCATAAATAACATATTAATCATGTAAATCTAACTCTAATACTCCCTGTAAAAATCTAGAAAAAATCTGTGAAATTGTCCCAACTTTTTCTTAGTCAAGAATGGGTTCTGACTGCTTTTTTGAAACTGTCTGAAGACTGTTTGATGGATTCGTTTAAAGCCTTAGTCCGAAGTTTATTATAATATTGGGTAACATAATAGCCTCTAATATGTAGTGGGCATCGGCCACAAGCAGAAGAGGTAGATTTACCACAATCAGAGCAAGGGATACGTTTTTTAGCTTTTCAATGGAATCGACATCCTTCAGGGCAAATACAAGCTCACCCACAAGCCTCTCCAGAATTTTTAAGATAGGGGCAAAAATACTCACCAATCATCCTGCTATTTTTATTATTAAATTCGAAAAAGATTAATAATAATTAGTTAATGCTTCAGTTTTGCAATCCTTTTTTCCTTTCAGTCATAAATTCGAAAAAAATTAATAGTTATCTTATATAGTATGAACTAAAAATATCTGGCTTCGAGAAGAAGAGATCGAAAAGTGATATGTACTCTACATATATAATAATTAATTAATTAAAGAAAAAATTTTATAAACAAGTAAAAGCGCGACGGTTAGAGCTAACACTATGGTTAAAAAACAAGAAGTGATAAGAAAGTTAGAATCTGTAAACGTTGTGGTCGTGAATGCTCAACACCTTAAAAACTTCGTGAGCATCTTAAGCGAAAAAATCTATGCAAACTATTACATGAAGCTAACCAACAACCCATTGAAGAGGATATTCAAAAACCTGTTCAAGTGGCTATTCAAGAACCTATTCAAAGAATAAAGACTATATTAGCCAGAAGGAGGCAGACAAATGAGTTAGCCCAAATGCCCGAAAACCTGGTGAACATTTTAAAATATGGGGAACACGACTACAAAAAAGATGGAAAGAACTTGGTCTAGTTAAATATCTTAAAACAGAAAACTTGAATGACTGTATGACTCTCTGTCATGATCTTGAACAATATGATCCAGAAGTAGTTAGACCACCAACAAAAGAGGAATTAAAAGAAGAACATGAAAAAAGAAAATAAGAAGAGATTAAGAAGAGACAAGAAAGATAGAAAAAA